ACTTTGCTATTAGTGCTGGGGTGAGATAGTATCTCATTGTTCTGATTGGGATCTCTCTGATGGCTAATGATTGTGAGCATTTCCTTATGCATTTGCTGGCTGCCTGAATATCCTCTTTGGTGAAGTGTCTATTCATGTCTTCTGCCCATTTTTTAATTGGATTGTTAATCTTTTTGTCGTTGAGGGTTGGAGTTTTCTATAAATTTTAGAGATAAGTCCCTTGTCAGATACATCGTTGCCAAATATTTTTTCCCAATATGTAGGTTCTCTTTTGACTCTTTTGGAGAAGTCTTTGGAAGCACATAAAAATTTAATTTTTAGAAAGTCCCATTCATCTAGTTTATCTTCAGCTGTTTGTGCGTTTTGGTTATGCTTGACAGTTTATTTATGCCATAAATGAGGGCCCCTAAATATGTCCCTATTTTTTCTTTGAGAAACTTTAGGTTTCATATTGAAGTCTTTGATCCATCTGGAGTTAGTTTTTGTGTATAGTGTGAGGTACGGATCTTGTTTCATTTTTCTGCAAATGGCTATCTGGTTTTGCCAGTACCATTTGTTAAAGAGACCACCTCTTGTCCATTTAATGGATTTCAGCCCTTTGTTAAAAATCAGCTGACCATAGATTGATGGATCTATTTCTGTGTTCTCAATTCTGTTCCACTGTTCTGTGTGTCTCTTGTACCAGTCCCAGGCTGTTTTGACTACTGTGGTTGTATAGTAGGTTTTGACATCTGGGAATGTGAGACCTCCTGCTTTGTTCTTCTTCAATAATGCTTTGCTTATGTGAGGTCTTTTTCCTTTCCATATAAAATTAGTGATTGGTTTTTCCATACCCTTAAAGAATGTTGATGGGATCTGGATTGGGATTGTATTGAATGTATAGATTGCTTTGGGTGGTACTGACATTTTCACAATGTTCATTCTTCCTATCCATGAGCATGGTATGTTCTTCCCTTTATGTAGATCTCTTATGGTTTCTTGGAATAGTGATTTGTAGTTTTCTTTGTACAAGTTTTTCATTTCTCTAGTGAGATTTATACCCAGTGTGGTGGTTATGTTTGTGTGTCAACTTTGCTAGGACTGGTTGAATGGCTAGGCAGCTGGTGG